CTTCATCAGTTATAGCACATCAATTCTGTCTTAGTCTTCCAAAACTAGATGAAACTGTTTCCTCTGAGTTCCTCGACACAACAAAAACATTTGATATTCCAAATTCTAATGTTTCTTTTAAGGTAAAAGATTTTCCCGACCCGGTTCTTTTCAAAAGATCAAGTGAAACATACAAAGCTTTTCTTCTTCTATGTCAAAGACTCTTTTTAGTGGATGGTGTCATCATCAATAGCTTCACAGATTTGGAACCCGATGCGATAAAATCTTCGCAAGATTTTGTACCTGCTTACCCTGTTGGACCTATCATTCAAAGAGAGTCAAAAAGTAGATAAAATGAGTTAGAGTGTATTAGATGGTTGAACAAGAAGCCTTCAAAATCAGTTTTGTTCATCTCATTTGGAAGTGGTGGAACACTCACTATTGAACAAATCAATGAGATAGCTTTTGGATTAGAATTGAGTGGTTGTAATTTTCTGTGGGTTATCAGGGTTCCAAATAAGCTCTCATCTTCTGCTTATTTTAGTGGATCATCACAAAAAGGTAATTCTAATTCTAATTCTGATTTTGATGATGACCCATTCAACTATTTGCCATTGGGTTTCTTGGAAAGGACTAAAGATCAAGGCTTGGTGGTTCCATCATGGGCTCCACAAGTTGAAATTCTAAGTCATGGTTCAACGGGTGATTTTTTGAGTCATTGTGGTTGTAGTTCATGTTTAGAGGGTTTGGTTTATGGTGTGCCTATGATTGCATGGCCACTTTATTATGTTTTTAAAGTGGCTGTTAGGCCAAGAATTGATGAACAAGATGGGATCATAAAAAGAGATGAAGTTGCAAGAGTTATAAAGATTATAATGGATGGTGAAAGTGAAGGTTTGAAATTAAGAACAAGAATTGAAGAGGTGAGAGATGGGGCTATTGCTGCTTGGAGTGAAGGTGGTTCTTCTAGGATGGCACTTTCAAGTTTAGTGATCAAATGGGAGGAAAAAGTAAGTCAGAAAGTTATGGATTAGTTAAGGAAAAAAAATGTTAAGATAAGTCAAAGATATTATTACCTATATTAACTAGGAAAATATTGTGTGCGGTAAAGAATTTATTTGTACAGCTATATGATTATTGTGTGCAGTTGTGATTCTCTTAATAAAAGAGGAATTATAGGGACTATTCTGGGTATATATTGTATCATGATCAAAATGAATAATATATCACAATTATTACTTTGAAATTTTTTATATGTTATCAAGAGCAGGCATCGTTTCTCTTTTAACATAGAAAACAGTGGTTTTTTTATTTCTTAGTAATTTTTGATGGCTTCTGATAAAAATAAATCGGAGAATTCTGGAACTTCCGCTATTGTACAATTCAACGATGCACTCACTCTAGAACGGCTTGACGACACTAACTACGTCGAATGTCTGTTGAATGCACATAACTAAATTAGAGGCAGAAAACGATGGGGTTACGTTACCGGAACAAAGACTGCACCAGTAAAAGATAAATCCGATGAATATGAAGCATGGGAAGATGAAAATTGCTTGGAAGTCTTGGCTTATGGACTCCATGACCAAAGAAATCAGATCCCTTTTCATTCGCTTAACTACGACCAAGATGCATCAAGATCTTATCAATTACATCGTGAGGTAATCTCTACTCAATAAAATGGTGGATCTGGTATTACATACTTTGGAAAATTGCAGAGGTTATGGCAAGAGTACGATAATATTAATAATTGTACCATGGAATGCACTAAAGATGTTGAGAAATTCAATAAGATGATTAATTCTCAACGAGTTTATGTTTTTTTGGCTGGTTTGGATTCATATTTGGATGGAGTTTGTGGTCGTGTTCAGGCTACCACTCTGCTTCCTAATATTCAATCAGTTTATGCAATTGTATGTGCAGAGGCAAATCGCCAAGAAGCTATACTAAATAGTGAGTCTTCGAATGGGCCCGCCTTTGTTGTCAAGAAGTATCCGAAGAAAGAAGTCCGCAAGTGTAATCACTGTAATGGAGATAATCATGTCATGGAGACATGTTTTAAACTCCACGGCTACCCGAAGTGGCATCAAAAGGGAAAAACTACTTCGAATAATAAGACAGAAAACATCAAGACTCATCTTTCTACTACTGCCGATTTTGTAACCAAGTCAGGTATGTCTAACTTTGATCATAATCCTTCTGTTATTATTAGAAATATCGATTAGATAATCGATACCGGTGCTACTGCTCATATGACTTGTGATCAACATATGTTTACTAATTTCTCTCCTAACTATTAGAATATCATCCACATAAAAGCAAAAAATAACAAATGAATTATCAGGTCAAAATCTGAAGCAAACACAGTAGTCGAAATGGCTTCTATTGAAACTTATGTGTACCATGTGTCGCAACTGCGAAAAACACCCGATGGAAAAATAGAAGAGTTGCCATCAAACGTTATTTATCCCAATGGAGGAAAGGAAACGGTCGAAGAAAAACTCAAAGAATGGAGAAGACATGGTCATTGCAACCAAATCTTGGATTTGGAAGCCGCTTACGCGAAAGGAAGATATTAGCACCCCCTCACATCTGTTGTCTTCAACGGGATCCACACTTGTTATTCTAATCAAAATATGTGTTATCTAAAGCATACTGCTAAAGGGGAACGAGAAAGGAAAAAGAAAAGGGAGACTCTATAGGACTTCACCGTCCTATGCCTACGTATTCCCTCGTGCAATGGGAAAGTCAGAGTCAATGTAGTTCGGAAAACTACGGGTGAAAGGGAAGGTTGCTCACCAAGACTTCGTCGTATTATGCCTACGTATCCTTATCTGGAATGAGAAATCAGAGCAGCCGTAGTTCGGCGTACCACGGGTTGCTTAGTGTTTTTTTATGAGCGATGTTAAGTTCTCATTCCAGCAGTTAGGGTCGATGCTTGTTTGCGGTAGAACGGAAAAATAACGTACTCTTTCTAAAAAAAGATTTGACAAACGATCCTGAAGGATAAAAATGATTCAAATTTATTTGTGAGTTTTAGAGAAATGAATTGACTTTATTTGGAATATGCATCTAAAGTCTATGACATAGGATTGAATACTCCGCGCTAATGATTCAAGCGTCTCGCACACAAAGTATCCTAAGATGAGGTTAGAATTCATCTGTCCACCTTTTCCCATGTACTTAAGGTTCGTGGCATACAATGCACATCATCTTTATTAAGTGTTTTGATGTTGTTTTGAGAGAGAAGAGAAAGATACACAAAAGGTCTAAGGGGAAACTCAGTCAAAACGTTGTCATGCAAAATGGCCCTAAGGTCGGGATTCGAAAGGAAATTATATCCTAATATTAGCATGCAAAAGGTGGACCTAAGGTTGAGGTTAAAAGGGACTAACATATTGTTATTATGCATGGATTAAACTCCTAATGCCTATCATACTCTAAGTTTAATCGAAAATTAAGTTGAACTAGAAAGCCCTAAGGGAGCATGCAAGAACAAGCCAAAACAAGGAAAAAAACAAAAAATAGCAGCTACAACAACGTTTTAGCTTTAGAACAGCTACAGAAAAACAGCAAGTAGCAAGACAGCATTTAACAGCCCATGTTTCAGCACATAACAGGTAGTGAGGCAGCTCTAAAGGCGACTTAATCTTTTGGTTCTTAATGTTGTGAAGAATGAGGTAACTAAACTATTGCAAGCAGGTATCATATACTTTATCTCTGACAGTAATTGTGTAAGTCCGATGCAGGTTATACCTAAGAAATCTGGTCTCACAGTGGTCAAAAATGAAAAAATGAACTTTTTCCCATTAGAGTTCAGAGCACTTGGAGAGTTTGTATTGACTACAGGCGGTTAAATCAACCAACTAAAAAGGATAAATTTCTTTTACCGTCCATTGATCATATGCTTGAACAGTTAGATGGTAAATTACATTATTGTTTTCTTGATGATTTTTCAGGTTACTTTCATATCTATATTGCACCTGAGGATCAAGAAAGACAACTTTCACATGCTCATTTGATACATTTTCTTACAGGAGGATGTCATTTGGCCGGTACAATGCTCCTTGAGTGTTTCAGTAATTCATGATTAGTATTTTTGCTGAATTTATTAATTATTGCACGAAGGTGCTTATGGATGATTTCTCTGTTTACAGTTCTTCATTTAATGCATGTTTGAGTAGTTTGGATATGATTTTAGAGAGATGCATTGAAAATAAACTTGTATTGAATTATGATAAATTTCATTTCATGGTTGAACAAGGAACTGTTTTAGGACACATGGTCTCTAGAAAAAGAATACTAGTGGATCCTGCTAAGATTGATTTGATTTCTAATATGCCTTATCCATCTTGCATTCGTGAGATTAGTTCTTTTCTGGGTCATGCATGTTTTTACAAGAGCTTCATAATGGATTGCAGGAAAATAGCTTTTCCGCTATTAAATTTGTTGAAAAATGATGTCACTTTCAAATTTGATGACAAATACAAAAAGACGTTTGATTTCTTGAAGAAAACACTTACCTCTACTCCCATCATCCAACCAACTGACTTTCAGAAATTGTCTATGGAGTTAAGAGACACCTCCTCTTATATATAAACCATGACCTTTTTAAGAAATAGGTAAATATTAATCAATTCTTTATCCAGACAACTTTTAACACGTGTGATGTAATTAATATGTATACTTTTATGCAATTATATTCAAAATATCTTCAGTTTTTAAATATATTCAATTTGATTTTTCATATTTTCATAAAATTTGATGTTGTTAATAGGACATATTTAAGAAAATGGTAATATATTTCTCTAATAAGGAGGAATAGTCATAAATTTATCTAATATTCTTCAAATGATCTTATTTTTAGTGAGAAATAAAATGTCTATAAGATCTTGATCTTATAATTATGGACATATGAAATTAAAATTGAAAACCAAACACATAAAATTAATTCATAAATTTTGTCTACTAGCAAACTTTTCCATATTTTATTATTACCACATATCCAACCCTTCAATCTTCTACATGGACTTTCCCAAGCTCTTCCATTTGAGTGCCAACATTGATAATGTTTTCATGGATGACCCATCTTCCATCATAGCACAATTAGCAAACTTTTGCAGCTCTTTCACTCTTCCTTCAATTTCTTCACTCTCCATAACACCTTTTATAACATTAACCACTTCCTCCTTTACCACAATTCCTTTGCTATCACATTTTGGTCTCATGGCAATTCTAAGTCCATTAGTCACCAATTCAGCATTGCTTCTTTGTTCAGCAAATAATGGCCAAGCTATCATTGGAACTCCATGAACAATACTCTCCAAACTAGAATTCCAACCACAATGAGTTAGAAATGCACCTATTGCATCATGCTTAAGTACTTCAACTTGTGGTGCCCAACCACACATAACAAAACCTTGTCCTTTTGTTCTTTCTAAAAACCCTAATGGTAAAAAATTTAATGGATCCACTTCATCATTACTTAGGTAACTAGCACTTGCTTTATTATTTGGTGGTCTCACATTAACCCATAGAAATTTATATTTGCTCAATTCCAATCCCAATGCAAGCTCATTAATTTGGTCATGTGAATGTGTACCACCACTTCCAAAAGAAATGTAGATAACTGAGTTAGGTGGTTGATTGTCTAACCATAGTAAACACTCACATGCTTGATTTTGAATATTGGGTTTTGTTTGTACGATGGGCCCTACTGCATACACATTAGGGATTGTACTTGTACCATATGGGCCATCTTGGGACATTGCTTTGAACGTTTCTGATTCCAATTCAAGAAAGCTATTGATTATGATGCCATCAGCTTGATGAAGTTGTTGGGAGCGTTGATGAAATAAATTGTATGCTAAACTTGATCTCTCTTGAGCACTGTCTGGGAGATCTTTGCCATCAAGAGATATGCAACCTATAATGACATAATTGTCAATTAAAAAACTCAATTTATTTCAAATCTTAACATTAGCTTATAACGACCACAATATACATAATAACAACTGCAATGAACACAATCACAACACTCACGACTGTAATTTAAAATCATAATATAGATTATCTCTCTATACTATATATTCAACTTTTTTATTTATTTTTTAGTCGGTGTATAATTAGCCGCTTACTTAATCTCTCACATCATTAGACTGATCTTAACTAAAATCTTACTCTAACAAACTTCCAAGAGACCTTAAGATCACATCTTGGCCCATAACCTTGACTTCTAAGACTAATCAATCGATATTACTATAACAAATAGAACAGTAGTATAATATAAAGTTGAATCAAATGAAGGGTTAATTAATTTATTCACCTGGAATCTCTATTGGTGTGGGGTGATCTTTGTACTCACACGTAATCATTTTATCCAGCTTTGAGAAGTATAGGCACATTGATAAAACCATTGCTGAACAAGGAAAGTATGTGTAGGATAAGATGTTCAATTCTTTAGCAAATTTATGTGCTTCATGTGCAAACGGATCAATAACTAGAGCAACCAAATTGGAGTTAGTGCTAAATGACCTTAAGGTTTCAAACACATATGGCATAGATCTAGAAACCGAGATTTGAACTTGAGATTCAAGCATAATCTCATTCTTCAGATCCTCAAAGTTGATTGGAGGAAGAAAAATGCATTGAATACTAGAAGGGAGGGTATCAAAGAAGGGTTTGGATGCAATAGAAGGAGAATTACTAATTGTGGGAATGATACATGTGACATGGAAAGAGTTTTTGTATAGATGAATGAGTTGCTTAGCAAATTCGAGTAGTGAAACTTGATGGCTAAGGACAGGAATAGAGACAAGGGCTATGTGAGTTTTTGCTTCCATGGAAACCAGACAAGTAGTATAGCATGAGCTACCTTGTTAAGAATTCAAAATCTCCATGAAAATAGCTTTAGAAATCATGAAGAAAAGATAAAACTCCATGAATGAAGCTTGAGAGTAAGAAGATGAATTGAAGCATTCAATACTTATTATTGTGCTTAAACTGCAATTGGGTACAATACAAGTATATATAGTAAAAAGAGTGAGCCCCTAATAAACTTTGCAATCTTTAATTACTTCTAACGACAACCACCTAACAACTTTCCTAAAACAAAAAGTAGCTGTAACCAACTTATGAAGACTTGCTTAAAGGAGAAAGTGTTGGCTTAAGCTAGAAAAGGACAATATTAAACCATTATCAGCAAGTTTGGTTTTAATATTTCAACAAGAAACTTATTTGTGGCTAAAGGTTTTGTGAGAAAATCAATCAATTGCTCTAGTGAAGTTATTGGCAGCAGTTTGATAACGTCTTGCTTGATCTTTTCTCTCACAAGATGACAATCAATCTAGAGATGCTTTGTTCTTTTATAGAAAATAGGATTAGAAGTTATATGTATAGCACTTTGGTTATCACAATATGAAATTGGCATTTTGCAACATGTGATGTGAAAATCCTTCAAGATATAAAGTAACCAAATTAGTTCACATGTTGCTAATCCAAGGGTTTTGTACTCCGCTTCAGATGAGGACCTGGCTATGGTTTGTTGTTTTTTAGCTTTCCAAGATACAAGAGATGATCCTATAAAAAAAGAAATATCCCAATGTAGACTTTCTTGAATCAATACATCCTGCTCAATATGCATTAGAGTACCCTAGAATTTGAAAGCTTGAATCTTTAGGAAATATCAGACCTCTTCCAGGATTCCCTTTCAAATATCAAAAAACTTTGCATGTAGATGATAATGTATTTGGTTTGGATGTTGTAGAAATTGACTCAATTGTTGTGTTGCTATTGTGATGTCATCTTATGTCTGGTGTTGTCTGAGTATAATAGTCTGCCAATAAGTCTTCTATATGCAGTAACATCTTCAAAGAGTTTGCTTTGATCTTGATACAATTTGATTGATGAATTGAAGGTGTGCCATCAGGTTTTGATATGAGCAATTCTTTGTCTTTTAACAAATCTGGGCAATAATTTCTTTATAAGATGACAATCCCTTTTTCTGAATGTGCCATTTCAAGGCCAAGAAAATATTTCAGTTTTCCAAGGTCGTTGATCTTGAAATAATTGTGTAGAATTTTTTTAATACGATCAAAATCATGTAAGGATGTACCTACAAGGATAACATCATCAACATAAACCAATAGGACTGTGGTGTGATCATCTTTTATCAGTGTGAACATTGAGTCATTCGATTTTGACTGAGTGTATCCAAGTTTGATTAGCAAACTTGTGAGTTTCTCATACCACTTCCGGCTGACCTGTTTCAGACCATAAAGGCTTTTGACCATCTTGCAAACTTGATTGGCTTTGGTGCATGTAATACCTTATGGAACACTCATGTAAGCATCTTCCTCTAGATCACCATGCAAGAATGCATTGTTGACATCTAATTGGTGCAAATTCCAATTCTTAATGGAGGCCACTGTAAGTAGCACTCTCACTATGGACAACTTTGCTACTGGAGAAAAAGTATCGAAAAAATCCAAACCTTTTATTTGACTGTACCCTTTGGAAACCAATCATGCTTTGTACCTCTCAACTAATCCATCAACTTTATCTTTAATCTTGTAGACCCATTTTCTCCCAATAGGTCTAACATTAGATGGTAAATCTACCATTTTCCAAGTACCGTTAGTGGTTAAAGCCTTTAAATCAGAATTCATAGCCTTCAACCAATTATAATCCTTGCATGCTTCCTTATAAGTTTTTGGCTCGTGATCAAGATTAACAGAATAACTAAAGGATTCATGACTGGGAGACAAAATTTTGAAAGAATGAAAAAATGAAATGGGATAACCTTAAGATGATGGAAATGGTTGATTGCTTGAAGCACTGCATACATAATCCTTGAGGTGAGCTGGAGGGTTTCTATTTCTAGTAGGTATGTGTGAACTGTCATGGTCAATGTTGGTGTTAGGTTCATTAGGGATGTGTGAGTTGTGATGGTTAGGGTTGATGTTATGTTTAGTAGGGATGTGTGAGTTGTCATGGTTAGGGTTGGAGTCAGAGTTAGCAAGTATGTGTAGAGTGTCATGGTCATAATTGGTGGTATTTTGTTCTTCACAAGAGGGAGGATCATTTTGTGAAGAATTATGAGAAATAGGTATAGTCTCATCTATTATGTTTTCAGAATTGAGTTATTGATGTCTAAGAGAATCACGTCTTTGATACCTTGCTTGAAGCCTAAGAAAATACATTTCCTTCCTCTATAATCAAGTTTTATTCTATGTGATTGTAGAGTGGAAGCATATTTATGAGTTCCAAAGACTTTCAATGTTTGCAAGTCAGGTTCTTCTTTGAATAGCATAAAGTAAGGTAACTTGTTTTTTAAGATAGGACTAGGAACTCTATTCATAATATATACATTATGATTGGTTGCACATGACCAAAAAGACTTGAGAATATTTCCTTGAAATATTAAGGCTCGAGCAATATTTAGTATGTGTTAGTGTTTTATTTCCACCCTACCATTTTCTTGGAGAGAATTCAACACAACTAGTTTGGTGAGAAGTTCCTTCGGAAGCATAAAACTGTGATGGTCTTAAGGTGTGAATTATGTTGGATTTCAATCATTTTAATAAAATCAATCACGTTTTGTATTATTTCAGACTTATGTTTCATGAGTATGATCTATGTATATCGACTGAAATCATCAACAACACTTAGAAAATAAGAATGATTTTGTTTAGATTTAATGGCTATAGGGCCCCAAATATCAAGATGTACAATATCTAAAGGTTTCTTATATTTAATCAAACTTTAATGGGAAGGCACTCTTTTATGTTTGGCATAATGACAAACATCACAAGCTGCATCTTTATCAACAACAATAAAAGGTAAAGTATCATGAAGGGTCTGCATCCTAGTAGAGGATAGATGACCTAATCGAAAGTTTCATAAGGCATGTTCAAGTATGTTACAAGTTGACGAATGGTAGGTGGCATGAGTGTAATGATGATTGCTTTTTTTAGAATTATATGATACAATCCTTCAAATCTCTCACTCAAATCAATCATCTTTATTGTGATATGATTCTAAGTAAAACAATGATTGTGAGTAAAACTGAATTTGAACTTAAACTGTTGGCATAATTTTGAAATTGAAATTAAGTTGACAGAAAAACCAGGCATGTATAAAATATTGGATATGATGAAATCATGTGAAATTTTAATTGTGCCAACATGTTTAGCTAATGCATATTGATCATTTAGAAGTCTAACATTTATAGGTTGGACTTCAATATATGAAAGAAACCAAGAATTTGATGAATAAATATGATCACTAGCTCCTGAATGTTTGATCCAAGATTCTAGTGAACACCCTTTATAAGCAAAAGAAAAGGTTTTACCTTTATCTTTCGAAACTGGATGACCTATGAATGAGAAAGAGCCTACTAGGTTGGATACTGCAAGGATGATAAATTGATTAATGGTTGAATTTTAGAGCAAATACACTAATTTCTCATATTGGTCTTAAGTGATGGTAGAAGAACCATTGCTAACTATAGATGTGTGAGCAGCCACCTCATTATCATCATCATTTGTGGTAGTATTAATGGTCATAGGGATGTTAAGGGTCCAATTGTGCATACTTTTGATTATATTTTATGGCCCTTTCCGATGGTTTCCTTGGTATTTTAGTCGTAAATCTATTAGTTTTAATGTAAATATGTAAGTTTCTGATTTTATTGTAAATATTGTGAATTATGATAACTTTTTATGCTTTTTGACAGGTCTTCTTGCTTTATTGATGATAGGAACCTATGGTGATCGTGTCGGTAACCAGCGCTTAGCGCGTTTCTCTTGGAGAGGCAGTAGCTAAAGCTTTCAATCGCGCTAAGCGGCCTGCTATCGCGTTTAGCGCGCTTTCTGGAATTTTGCCTCTATTTTGCTGACCGCGCTTAGCGTGCTCCTGATGGCGCTTAGCGTGGTGCCACTTGCTGCACTTTGGGCACTTGCTATAAATATCTTCCTTGGAAGATATTTTCACCAACTCTTATACTTTTACACTTTTCAGCATTTTTAAAGATAGAAAAAGGGTTTTTAGGGCAAGAAAGCTTTAAAACTCAAAAAGAAGTGAGAATCAAATCTTTGGAGCATTAATCCTCGATTCTTCGACTTTTATGCTAGCAAAGTTTTCCTTTTTACTTGTTGATCAAGCTACCATGGTGATGGGTAGCTAAACACTTTGTGTCAAGATTAGAGGTAGCTAATCTTGTTTTTATGTATTTCTTTTGATCTTTTGTATGTGAACAAGGTTTATGATCAATAGATGATGAAGATCTTTGTTTTGAATGTTGTATTTACGGTTTGAATCACTCTAGACATAGATTTTCCAAGTCTTGGTCTAATTTCTTTATCTATTAGCCAACAAACTCTAGACATAGATTTGAAATTTAATATTTGCTTTGTATCAATCTTTATGTTTATTGTTTCGATTGTTATTTCAAGAAATCATCTAGCGATTAAAACAATAATAGTCATAGAGCCGCTTTAGAAATAAACAGATTCATGAGGATACAAGATTGTATTGATCGAAACTAAGTTCACATGTTTGATTAATCAGATTATATATGAAAGGGGTTAACGAGATCTAACCTTGACATGCTTTTCTTAAAACAAAACTTTCATTTTCTAGTTTATTCTTTGCTACAAATCATATTTTACAAAACAAGAACTCTTTGAAAACCTTTCTCTTAGGACGTTAAACTATTGAACGGCGAGTATCTATATATTTGATAACACAGTTCATGTGTGTGAGACATTGGATCGAACTCTAGTGTGGTCGAAGTCTGTTCGCAAGTAATGTGTGTTGTAGTCGAAGTTTGTTCTAACATGCA